CTGAAGCAGATTTTCGTCGTTTTGTTGTAGTGATACCCAGCTGTAGTACCCTATTAAGTGTCATTAATAAGTTTGCCTATTAAATTGTTACTGCCTACTTAACATGATGCTTTGTTAATGAAATTGGATGTTGTTAAATCGTCATATTCTGTACCCGCATCTTTTGATTTCCCACGATAGTTTCACTTGTCGTAGGTTGTTGCGTGTATCGTTGTGTATGTCGCGTGCATCATTGTCGCCATCCCTTAATTACTGACACAAAACCATCACTAAGCATTTGAATAGGTATAAACACAGGCATAAATGCATGAAAAGGAGGGCAAAGTGAGATATAATTAAGAAGAAAGGGGGGCGCTGTTTTGTAATAGACATAAAAGTAAGTCTTTTTTGATATGTTGACCAGAATCCAAACATTCAGATCTGAACAACTGCAAAAAAATTATTGGCCAGATGTCATATGTCATTTAAGACTAATAGCTCATCATTATCATAGGGTCGTCAGTCCTAACACTGATTGGACACGCACCTCCACTCTTTTCTATCCTGAGCTAATCTTCGCATTTCCCTAAGACCAGAACAACCCACATAGTAATCTAATCTAGGTCTACCTCTACCCCTCCTAACTCCCGTTTTTGCCTCTACCATGTCTTTAACTAGACCTTCATGCCTGAGAAGGTGTCCTACCAACCTATCTTGCCTATTTGTTATTGACTTCCATAGAGTCCTCTGTTCTCCTATTCTTTCCAATACCTCTTCATTTCTAATCTCCTCTATCCACGCTATCCTCATCATTCACCGGTAACACCACATTTCGAACGCTTCTAACCTTTTCTTTCCAACCGTGCTTACTGTTTATGTTTCACACCCCTACAGCGTCGCGCTCCAAACGTACATCTTTAACAACCCTTTTCGAATTTCTAAATTAACCGTTCGCGAGCATAGAAGTGACTTCTTTTTATTGAAGGCGACTCGACTCTGCGCTATCCTTTCCTTTATATCCCTACTACTCCTTCCGCCCTGACTTATCTGACTTCCTAGATACTTGAAATCGGCCACTTCTTCTAATTTTTCGTCTCCTACCCTTATATTCGCTCTTTCCTTATTTTTCCTTCCCTTGCATACCAGTATTTTTGTGTTACTTTTATTTATTTTCATACAGTACTGTTTTCTCGTACCGCATCCATTTTATTTCAAGGTATCTCTAACTCCTAATGGTTAACCAAAAGGAATTTTCAAAAGATCTATAGGTATATATATCACTATGACTTGTGAGGGCTAATTGGTGAACGTTTTGATAAGTATTTTATTGATATGATGGCTTTTATAGTTGTTTGATTGACTTTTCGCCTCTTCAAGTTTGGTCTTGAAAAAGATCTTTGTTTTGATCGATTTATTATTATCAGCTGATCAAATGAGAGATATATTTACATTATTAGAAACCAACTGGTTATTTGACTTTGAATAATGACTTAATCGAAACAGTATTAGGTATCGAGAAATTTAGCTGAAAAAGTTATTTATGTAATTTTGTCAGCGATGTAGTAACAGATGATGGAAGATCATTGGAAAGAGATTTGCCCAAAAGTGTATAAGTAAGTATTGAATGATGAGAAAGACGAAGAAAAGTTTAAACTTTAATGGAGACTACCCTTCTTCTTTCCTAAGATTTTGATACCACTGCTAATTAAATCTCTTATGCTTCAAATCTCGATTATGTGAAACCAGGATGTGATACAAATTTTTAAGAAGCATAAATTGCAAAAAAAAGTAAATAAAAGTAACTCTTAGGTGAACCCACTGATTTACATTGCGATAATGAAACTTCTTTTAGAATTTAAGATAAAGAAAATTTAAGTTTCAAATGAAAAGTAGGAATACTATTTACGTACTTATACACTTATCTATTTAGTTTTTGGCCGAAAAGAACTTTTGCTGATAATACCTCCCAGTATAACGTTGATTATTTCCTGAATAAGTTTGGTGTCGTTTCAAGGCACCATGAGAAAACAAGTGATGGTACAACTTCACATACACCTATAGAGGTGCTTTTCTAGTTAAATAAAGAAAAATTTTTAACTGTTATGTACGCATGTAAAGCCAGGTGCAGATTAACAAAGCCATTTATTTAGCTCAGGTAAAGAGAACTGTAAACTTAACCATTTGCTCTTCTATTATAGCACAAAAGTCAAACATTAAAATTGGGACTCTGGTTGTATTCATAATCGGATTTAAACAAGTCGGCAAGCAACGTGCAACACCTCCACCAATGGGTAGGTATGCTCTATACTACATCAGCTTTTGCCAATATAGCTAATCATTTTTAAGCCAAAACGTTACCACGTCTTATTTAGATGTTGACGGGTTGATGACATTTCTAAAAGCGACCAAGTATTGTTAACCCTAGGCGTCACATTAGTTGCACTCGTTTGTTTGAAAGCCGAAAAGAGAGTGAGTGTGTTTGTGTGTGTGTGTGTGTGTGTGGGGGAGGGTTACACTATTATTAGAAACGAACGATTAAAATTATCATGATTTTTAGATATTATTAACACATCAGGTGTTGAAGTTACCGTTTCTTTTTTAATGAGATCTATTCCTTTTTTAAAATCATTTTGAATTCTATCCTTATAACAAAAATTTTATTAGTTTATTATACAATATAATTATGTTTTAGAGATTGTATATAGATATACCACCCACTCAAGCAGTATTTGCACTATATTTTAATAAAACAGTTTAAACATCTTCGAGAATACAAAATGCGTTCTGGGACATGTTGGGAACCAAAAATGGTCCCTATTCACATCTCAGTTGTAGTCAAAACTCTAAATTAAAAAGCGAATTTTTTTTATCAATAATTGCCTTGGATTTTCAAAGGATCGTATAAATATAACTTTGTATACCTCAACTCATGATTGATTTGTTTTCGTTTTATCATGGGGTAGGTATACCCTATAGTGTGAGAAGGCGGATGGAAATGTTTAAATGAAATGCGTCTCACGTTATACATATACTTATGTATGTATTAGGTAGGTGTAGCTAAAAATACATAGATATTTGGTGTAGGTAGTTAAGTTGAGTCGAACTGGCTGGTAGGTAGATGCTTTGGTAGCACAAAAGGAAATAATTGACAAAATCTGTACCGATTGTCACGTGTTTCAGCCATGTAAGCTCCGTGGCGAATGCGAAATGTCACTAAGCGGAAATAAATGACTTCATTTGTTGGCGACACTTTGAAATTGCCGCTCTTGCATTTTGCCTTCACCGCTTCTCATAATACATTTAAGCAGATCATTGTTAAACTTAAATGCAAGCCTGTACAAGTAGTAATACCTATACCTACATATTTCACTGAAATCTGTCCTGTATTTTACCAAACAAGACCAAAAAGGAACTCATCGTGAGACGTATAAATCTACAAAAAAAATAGTTTTGCATATCGATCTTGGGATTCTTTTAATGCTATTATAATATCTTAATTAGGTAGTAATACGGAAGAAATGCTTGGCTGTTACGTAAATCTTGCAACAGAAAAAATCTAAGAGGTTTTAATATGAGCGTATGATAATCTGTCAATAGTCATAAGTTTCTGCATGGACTGTGTGATGAACCTTTGGGAAATAGATCGAAAAGACTGAGAAAATGGATAGCCTCGGTCACTGAGATTATAGAGTGATATTCTATTATAATTTCAAACGTCGATTATCTTATCAAGAGTGCATGCCACTACGAAATGTCCAATACCTTTGGTAAAGAGTAATGTATTCAAGTGGACCCACGAGGAATTCCAGGTGACTGGTGATCAAACTTGACTGTACTATTTCGACGTTCCAAGGAAATGAAGATCAAAAATTTGGGTGTTCCAAGGCGAGCCAACCCCAACACAGGTCAAACAATAAAAGTGAGTTAAAAAAAAAATAATGATCACTGTTTTCTTTGGAAACAGACGCATCTTAGCTAGAATCATATTAGACACGTAGAAGATTGTTAATGCTACCTGGTACACTGAGGTCAGCTTGTGTCAAGAAATCTGCGAGCTGAATAAACTGCGACCAAACTCGATTCTGAACAGTTAGCACTTCCATCATGATCGAGCCAAAGGTTTTTGTAACAATCGAAGGTCACTGTGCTTGATTATCCTCCTCATAGCTGCCCCCCTGCGCCGTGCGATTTTGGTCTTTTTCCGCTGATCAGGAACCAGTTGAAAGGACAACGGTTTGCAATTCTTGACGAGTTATTGAATGCATTGGATGAGGCTTGCGTCAGTATTTCAAAGGATCGATGGAAGATGATATTTGAAACGTAGTGCATTAACAGTGATGATATTTTTGTTAGTCCTGCTTAATATGATCACATGGTCATCCGATTTGAACTTGCCTCATTTCTGCATCCTTTAATTGGAAAATATTTTTCTTATTTATCGAGATCCGTAGTAAAAGTAATGTAATTTCAGACGATGACGATGGACGGAAACAGAAATATTTATTATGAAAGGCATCGAATGAATGGAATGATTGGGCCCACTGGGGCATCGCTAAGGAATCAACCCTAGCGAATATACATATCTATATAGCTAAAACGCCCTTATTTAACTGTCTGTTGTACACTATATATGTAGGTACATACAGACATTTTATCAGCCAACAGATAAAAGCATCGTATATCAACTCTCGATAATCGTGTGGCAGATGTTTTACGATCGAACTCGACTAGAACATGATATAATTGCCATTTGAACCTTTCGACATTCATATTAACGAGAATGTTATATTATAAATGGAGGAACTGTTATTTTAAGAATAAAAGCAAGTACTACCTAGATAATAAACATTGTACACGTAACAGTGAAGAACTTCTATAGTAGTAGATTTCGCTAATTTCTTTAGAGATGTTTCTTGAAGATTTTTCAAATTATTGAAAAACAATAAACTGATTGCTACCAGGCAGGTGTGACTACCCATTATTTGATTCTCAATTAATATAGATAGGAACAACTCGTTGTTTTGAGTTTGGTTCTTTCTTAATTGAGTCAATTTTAGATGAAGGTAACACATCGAATTCGCGTATGCGGATGTCATACGTGCATGAAATAAAGCAAGTAGTAGGTGTTCATAAAATTAATGTTTGCAGAGGTTTTTACGAACTCAATACAACTTGGCATGTTGAACATGCTCCGCCTTATTGAGGCAAATGGGCGTTACTGCGCCGAGAACAGACACAAACAGTTTGTCCTTTTGCTGCATTTTCATTGGTCAATATGCCGATGACGAAAGGAACTAGTGTTGTAAAGAAGAGAAGAGGTTTTGTTTGAAGATTTCTCAAACAGTTTTTAGTGAGCAATAGTAGGCAGTAGACGTGCTGTAGGTAGTGCATATCACGAACACATAATACATCAAATTCAAGTGACTTTTCAGCGTGATATAATCAATATGGTGAAAAACGAAGATCCAGTGCTACTTGTTCCAACAATGGCTCGTACACCTCTCAAATCTTCTTTTTCAATAAATTCAATACTTCCCGAAACTATTGAGGAGGCCACTTGTCCAGAAACAGCATCATCGCCTGCAACCAATACCATTTGCGATTCCGATCAATACGATTCCGATGTAGATCTTGACGTAACAACGACGACTCCACCGCCAATGGATTGCACGAAAACATCGCTGGAAAACTCAGACTCCACCGGTAAAAAAGCAACTGATAAAACAAACGAAAAACCACCATACAGTTACAACGCTCTCATAATGATGGCAATAAGAAACAGTCCAGAGAAGCGGCTGACTCTAAATGGAATCTATGAGTACATCATGAGGAACTTCCCGTACTACAGGGAGAACAAACAAGGCTGGCAAAATTCCATTCGCCACAATCTGAGTTTGAACAAGTGCTTCGTTAAAGTGCCCCGACATTACGACGATCCTGGCAAAGGGAATTACTGGATGCTGGATCCGTCAGCTGAGGATGTTTTTATTGGAGGAACCACAGGAAAACTCAGGAGAAGATCAACTGCAGCAACCAGATCCAGATTGGCGGCTTTCAAAAGAACTGTTATGCTAGGAGTAAACGGTGTGTATCCTGCATCGTTCCCTGCGTACAACTCATCCTTGATGGGATTCTATCCTAACCCAGCATTGATTGCATCTATGTACCAAAGATACAACCCGTATTTTGGTAATTTGTTCCCAAAACCTACCGCCCCATCACACCAAAGTTTCACAATGGACAGGATCCTTGGCATTCCATCTTCACCTTCGTCATCTCCGTCGTCACCAGATCGACCCAATTCCACTGCAGCGAATTATTTTCCGACATGTTACAATCATCAAAATTTCATTCACAGTCAGCATTCCGCCATGCCGCTGTTGATGTCTCAAATGTTGATACCTCCTCCATCACAACAAGAAGCGAACTCAATCGTTAGACCAACGCCGAAAGAAAGTTTGTATAAACCCGTAACTGTTATTTCTCGGCAATGTTAGATTTTCTAGCCTGTCAGGTAGATTACCTACAGTAACTAATTCATAATTATACCTAATATGATTGGACTAGTAGGTATTAGGACAAGTGATCTCATTTTTTTTAAATAATAACTTTGTATCGATATACAAGGGGTGAAATAACTGCAATGTACATAGGTGTGTAAATATTAAATGCTTACCAATAGTGATGATAATTGTAGGCAGTGGGTATTGAGTAGGAAGTCAACGTAGGTAGATAATGAGAGAAATCTTCCCGAAAGAAAACGCTTAAAAGTGCTTAACTTTACTCCGACTTCACCTACAGGTACGACAGAAGTTCTTGCTATCTATTTATTGTTTTGTACTAAACTAAACTTTATTTATATATATGTGTGTGTATATTTATGTATATCTATGTAAAAAATTGTTATTACATTGTTAATTGTACATTTTCAGGGGTAATTCACCCAGAAAATTGTAAATAAAATTTTAAACAAATATCAACATTAGAGTCTTTGTATTAGCTACTCCAAAAGCAGACGTTACAAAACTGATGTTATAATATTGATTTGCTTTCCAAAGTTACAGGTTTTTTTTGTACGACTGGCTAAAGAAGATCACTCTCATTAAACTAAACTTTTATACTGGTTTTTTCTGTGTAGACTCCCACATTTCTATTAAATAATTAAATTGTTTAAAAGAGAAACAATTTAAATTGGCTCAATTTATTGTACAATTTCAATTTATTGCTGGTGCGCGTAATGCAGTAATTTTTTAAGAACGTTATGATGGATGGCGTCTGCTGCTGCGAGATAAATAAATTTATTTACAAGCTATTCGAGCAAGTTGATATGTAAGAGCGGATGTTATAAAGTCAACAGAGTATTTTCGAGCTACTTCAATTTTCTTATCACGTCCTATAACAAATTGTAGACATACGTATATAACAACGAATGAACTACATTACAATACACTTGCAATTTGAAGGAACAATGATGTATAATGGATGTACATGATAATGTTTGTGCACATCACATACACAAACAATAATAAGGACGATTGCAATGAGGACTCATTCTGTTTCGGCATATTTTAATATCATCATCATCATAAGGTCGTCAGTCCTAAGACTGGTTGGACACGCACCTCCACTCGTTTCTATCATGAGCTAATTTTCGATTTCCCTAAAACTATCACACATCCTTAACTATTTGCGAACTGTAATATTCAAGCAAGTTGCTATATATTTTAATATATGGAAAAAAAATCGAGATTATTGCTATAACAAGGAATTCCTTATTGCTTCAATCTTTCAAACAATATAATGTTGCTAATATATTTATTTAGCGAAAGAAATATGCCATAAATTTAATACATTACCATAAAACTAAGAGTTTAAGCAATTGTGACTTATTTATTCTTTAGTGTACGTATAATCAAATCGAGAGAAATTGATGCTTCAGGGGACAGTCTGTTCCCGTTATCAGCCCAGGCATTTCCACAAAGAGAAAATACTGTTTCTGGAGATGCGTTGGATAATGACGGGAATTGATGCTATAAATTGAAATATTTTAAGCAAATTTACGAAGTTTGCATTCTGAGTTATAGAAGACTTGTGGCATTGTAAATAAAGAGATCAGTTGTTTGGGCTTCCTCTATGTCTTTAACTAACTGAAGCTTCTTTTAGTTCTTTGAAAACAACGTTTAATTGACAATATACTTCAAAGATTCCTCATAGAACTGTGCAGTGGTATGAGTGACAAAAATGGATATGAATTAGAAAGTGGCAGGTGATAAGAATCGGTACAAATTATGCTATAACAGAAAAAGTAACATGCTAAATTTTATGTCAAAATTAATAAATTTCAAAAACAAAAAAAAAGAACTCTAAATATGTAAAAAGATTTATAGAAAACTACAGATGAAAATTTATTACAACCAAAATAAAAAATATGTTTATGGTAATGCATGATTACAAACGGTTTCAAAGGTGATAGATAACATCATCAGTTGAAACAAGTTATAATGGACTATAATTTTTTACTTAACTAGTGTAATTATTTTAAATGGATTGAGCCAAACGATCGTTGGTTATTAAAGGAGAGGCGACAATTTATTGGCAGGTCAACTTATTCGAAAAGGTCAGTCTGTGTACAAATATTGACCTTTTCTCAACGTTAGTTACATTCTCATCGTAATCAACGTCCTACCTACGCACAATTTAACTAACTCAATTGTTTTAAACTGTGCCTCAGTCATCATCAAAAGAAATACAATGTTATACTTGCTTAAGTATACTGTAGCAGACATGGTGTGTGCTTCGTATACATAGGTATATGCGCCTTCTCTTCCGGCACCCTAGATTGATATAAAAACTTGCTAAATTGGAAAATTGGCCCTTAATTGCATGGCACATTAATATTTTAGCACTGCTGGCAGAATCCAGTTTCATAATTTAATTAAAAAAAAATTATAATTTGTTGTTGGCACAAATGATACCTACATGTGAAAGTAGATGCGAACTTGAAGAACTCAACGAAAGTATTTATAAAGAAAGATAGCTCACGATCAAATAAGGGATACGAAGAAGTGTGGAGTGAACCTCTAGTCAATCTTAAAGCTGAAAACCTTATGACGACGATGAAGTTTTTATTTCGTACTATAGGGTCGTTCGGAAAGTCATTTCGTTTTTTCCCGACAGAGGATTTAATTGTATTCTTTTGTACCCAATTTCACATTTAAGCCGTATAATTTTTATATGCTTTGAGAGCTCATATAGCAAGGCTTGTGTGTGAAAAATTCCAATTAATTCTACGCAGTAGTTTTTGGTTGGTGCCCTTTTAAATATGGAGAGCGATAAGCAGCATTTTCGACATATCTTACTGTTTTACTACAGAAAGGGTAAAAATGCTGTTCAAGCCAGAAAGAAATTGACTGATGTGTATGGAGAAGGTGTGTTGACAGTACGCCAGTGCCAGAACTGGTTCGCTAAATTTCGATCCGGCAATTTTGATGTCGAAGATGCACCACGTTCGGGAAGGCCGGTTGAAGCTGATAAAGACGCGATAAAGGCATTAGTTGATGTGAACCGGCGAATAACAACACGTGAGATCGGATTGAGGTTAAATTTATCAAATTCAACAGTTTATGACCACTTGAAAGGCCTGGGATTATCCTCGAAGCTCGATGTATGGGTTCCCCATGTTCTCACAGAGAGAAATCTGTGTCGCCGCATTGACGTCTGCGATTCGCTTCTCAAACGTCACGAAAATGATCCGTTTTTGAAGCGCATCATCACTGGGGACGAAAAATGGGTTGTATACAACAACGTCAAACGCAAGAGGTCATGGAGCAAAAAAGATGAACCGGCTCAAACCATTTCCAAAGCCGATATTCACCAAAAAAAGGTGATGCTGTCTGTTTGGTGGGATTTTAAAGGAATCGTTTTTTTTGAGCTTTTACCGGATAACACAACGATTAATTCGGAAGTCTACTGTCATCAGCTGGACAAACTGAATGATGCACTTCAACAGAAAAGGTCAGAACTAATCAACAGGAAAGGTGTAGTGTTTCACCAAGACAACGCGAGACCTCACACAAGTTTGGTCACTCGCCAAAAGCTTTTACAGCTTGAATGGGATACAATGCTACACCCACCATATTCTCCAGACCTGGCACCATCGGATTATTATTTGTTCCGGTCACTCCAAAATTTTTTAGACGGTAAAACCTTCACCTCAAATGAGGAGGTCAAAAACCTCCTCGATCAGTTTTTTGCCAGCAAAGACCAAAAATTTTATGAGCGTGGAATTATGCTACTACCAGAAAGATGGCAAAAGGTGTTGGACCAGAACGGTCAATATATAATTTAATAAAGTATTTGTTTATTATACGAAAGCTGTCTTTCATTTCCACAAAAAAAAAACGAAATGACTTTCCGAACAACCCTATATATTTGAAAAGGCAATTGAATATTTATGAAATAAATAATTCGCATTTTATAAAGACTTCAAGTATGCTGCTCAATGAAAATAGACGAATAAAACATTTTGACCTAAAGCTTTGCGTAGGAAGGAAGGTGAGTACAGTTCGTATAGAAAGATGAATTACATCAATTGTCATTTGTTCATGGGTCAACAAAGGCATTCATTTAATTGACCCGTAGTGTAATGCAAATAAGTAACAATTTAAAACACGAGACGAAAAATAATTGGGTGTATAGGTAAGTACCAATAAAGATTAAGATAAATTGCCCATATCCCAATATTCTCTGTACTAGAACTTGCTGTCTACCATGAGAATGAAAATGAAAAGGGAAGCAAAATAAAAAATGATCTTTTTAACTAATTTAGTTGGCAATTTCTTTTCCAAATACACATACTAACTTGAATATAAACACTGAAATTTATCCATTTTAAGCATCTATTTATTTTTGGAGAGAGGATTAGAGAGTGAACATTAACGGTAGAGCAGACACCAAAGAGCAAAAATCCAATGTTATTGCTAATAGCTTGGTCTCTATATCGCCGCGACCTATTATTTATCATTTTATTATTGTTATATTAGTATTTAAGTATAAGCTGCTTGCATATACTATCATAATAGCTAGATAGGTACTCGGAATATAGATTGATCACAGATAACGGTTTTCGGTTTTGGCCTAATACGCTTCGATGTGTCTACATGCTCGGTTGGCCGTGGACGGGTTAAAACGTCTTTAGAAAGCGGTGGTTCAAAGCAGACGATGCTCGTTTAATGTTCGTTTTTTTATACAGGCGCGCGGCAGTCCTCGCCACGTTACAGGGTGATCACCTACCAATCAAAAAATCGAGCGTCTTTCACCTTAAACTAGATATAATCCGAGATTCTGTTGAAATACTTCAATTTTGATTGATTGATTATGGCTTCTTCTAGTTAAAAGCTATAGTGATCAAAATAGAATAAAATCGCAGCGGCCCGCAATCCATCCCCTGCGGTACGCCACAGTACCTACCAATCAAAACAAGTCTTTGATTCTGTATATACGTATAATGTGGTGTGATACTTAAATAGTAAATTTTGACTACAGTACGAACTACTATCTACTGTCGTCTATTTCCCTATCATCTATCGTCCTCTTAGCAACAGCTTTTGTCACATATCATAACTTTTCGACTTTTGTTGAATATTGTGCTGGTATTTCTTTCATGGTCAAGTATCTTTCGTGTCAATAATTTAGAAAAACAAGCAAAAATCATGATAATTAATTAAACACCCGGTATAGTGAAGTATTAATCCAGACCCGTAACAAAAAGAAACACGTTAACAAAAGAGGTTTTAAGTAGCGGTTGACAGATGAATGAAAATAACATCAAGAGGTCGGCTCTGTAACTCCATTAGGTCTCTTTTATGAAACGGGTCCAGAT